GAAGTGATAGGACTGGATGTCATGATCTTAGTTTTTTGAGTGCTGAGTTTTAAACCAGCTTTTTCACTCTCCTCATTCACCCTCATCAAGAGTCTCTTTAGTTCCTCTTTGTTTTTTTGCCACGAAAGTAGTATAATCTTCATATCTGAGGTTGTTGATATTTATCCTGGCAATCTTGATTCCAGCTTGTGAGTCATCTAGTCCAGCATTTTGCATGACATACTCTTCATATTGGGGGAAAAACAGAGGGCAATCACTGATAGCTCTAGAAAGAATGAAGAGGCTGGGCCAAAGCAGAAATGATGTTCAGTTGTGGATGTGTCTGGTGGTGTGTCTGATGCTGTAAAGAACAATATTGCATAGGAACATGGAATGTTAGGTCCATGAATCAAGATAAATTGCATGAGATGAAGCAGGAAATGGCAAGCTTGAATATCGACATTTTAGGAATCAGTGAACCAAAATGGACAGGAATGAGCGAGGTTAATTCAGATGACCATTTTATCTACTACTGTGGGAAAGAGTTCCTTAGAAAAAGTGGAGTAGCCCTCATAGTAAACAGAAGAGTCTGAAATTCAGTACCTGGGTGCAATCTCAAAAATGACCAAATCAGTTCATCTCCAAGGTAAATCATTCACCACCACAGTAACCCAAGTCTATATACTCCAACCACTAATACTGAAGAAGTTGAAGTTACCAGTTCTATGAAAACCTACGAGACCATATAGAGCTAACACCCCCCAAAAATGTCCTTTCCATCATAGGGGATTGGAATGCAAATAAAGGAAGTCAAGAGATACCTGGAGTAACAGGCTAAGTTTGGCCTTGGGGTACAAAATCAAGCAAGGCTAGGACTAAGTTCTGTCAAGAGAACACACTGGTCATAGCAAACACCTTTTCCCAACATTGAAATAGAAACAGATAAAACAATAAACATATTAACAATAAGATAATTTGCACTTATGACAAGGGCTGCAAAAGATAATTTAAGAACCTTTGTGATAAAGACTTTGAGATAGAAGTGTTCTTTGATAGAGTAATCAGTAATTATGTTTCATAGAAGATAATATGTGAGCTGAAGCATACATTTTAAGTAGAAGTTTCCTATGTAGATACTTGGAAAGAGAGTTCTGCAGGCAAAGAAAACAGCAAGTGTAAAGGTTCCTAGATGAGAACGAACTTGAAACGTTTGATGGACTATAAACAAAAGACATTGTGACAAGCAGGATATCCTTAAAGACTTTGCATTTTATTATCAGGTGGCAGAGGAAATGGGAAATGTGGTTTGGTGTGGGAAGAAGATCAAGGGCAAAAATAAGGCAGAATCTCACAGGGGATATGTTGTAAGATCTAGGGCAAACTATACTTTGTATAAGTCACATCATATTTCATTAGGTGACATCCTGTTCCAGTGAACTTTAAAGTGAACAGTGGCCTTACCTGCAATTTTAAAACAGACAAAAGCTAGCAGTATAAATCAAAATGTAATGACATTGTGGTGTAAAATCATTGTCTTGGCCTTGCTCATGGATGGGCCAAGCCAAACCTGAGTAGCATCAATTACAGGCTTTATTTAGTTAGAGGGATTAACTGGAAAGATGTGAGCTTTTTTTTGGTAGAAAGATGAACAAATTAGGGAAGCATTGTTCACAGAAATCTGTGGTCTCTGGCAGGTAAAATCTACAGTGTAATGAAGGAGTGAATACAGAATCTAATATAGGAGGCCAATTCACAAGCTTGTGATCCAAAAAAAGAAAGGAAGTAAAAAACGATGAGGTTAAGAATAGGTTGAAACATAAGAGGAAAGATAGCTTACCACAATGGCTATGAAAGGTGAGGAGTTGGAGGTTACACCTGTGTATTGTTGATTCTGCTGTCCAAGTTGACCCTGAAAATGTCAGGAGGCCTGGATGAGCAGATGAGATGATTTCACCCATGTTCAAATGTATCGATTGCTCCACTGGGAATTTTGTCTTGCCTAAAGAATGTTTATTTAAAATGAAGTATTAGCTTGATGCCATTCATTGTTTACTATTGACATCTGAGTTTAGCTGTTGCTCAGGAATTTGTCTATTATATCAACATATACATATATATTTTGTGCCTGTCATAGATCTAACTTTTATATATATACTTTGTTGAGAGGAGCCGTGACATAAATGCAGTGAATCAAATAACTATCAAATAATTCCTGCATTATCTGAGCAATGAAAAATCTACATTTCAAAGCCATGTTAAGTTTGAGCCCTGGCCAAGACCTGCCTGATATTGTCACATTAGCTCTATTTGCATTATCTAACTATATTATGAGAAACAGGAAACATACTCAAATTGTTCAGTGGAACCTGGAACATCTCACTCCAGAGAACAGCACCCACACTTATTCTGCAGTAATAGAAGGTTAGGACCATCCAAGGTTATAACAAAGACTCAATAGGAAGGGTAATCTGAATCATTACTTCATTTCTTTTTATTGAGATAGCTTCTTTCCCTGACAAAAAAATAAATAACATTTTCAACTAAGTATTTATTTAAAAAAAAATTTTTGTGTGTCCTTTCTCATGTGTCAGGGATTGTGTTAGGTGCTAGCTATACAGTTCTGAACAAAACAGACAATTTATACATATATATATTAATAAATTAAAATTAGTGATAAATTATATAAAGAAAACAAACATAATCAGCCATAGCAAGCATCCAGCTACTCAGGCAAGGAAATAAAAGGGACCATTTTGAGTATAAGTTTATTATTCAACTTAACTCCCTACTGCCCAGTTAACAAAGCCCCTCCATCCTATTTCTTATCAGACTTTTATTTTGTTCTTATCAGATTTTTATGAACTGTGACAGGGCAAGGTTAATGTGAAGGAAATACATGTGTGTCCTGTTTCTTATATATTTCCAGTTGCTGCTCTTACTGTTGCCTTTTTTTAAAATTTCGTGATATGACCAAAAAGAAAGATTTCTTAAATTGCTATTCTAGCAATATACACTCTCATCTTAAAGATAAATCTTATACCACATATTAGTAGGAAACACAGAGAACATTGGGAAAAATCAAAGCCATAGTCACTCTCAAGAAATTGACCACAGAGGCTGTATAGGAGACAATAGGTAGGAGGGGACGCTATCTGTAGATGTATTCCTGACATCATATACAAAAGGCAGTAGTTTTGTTGGGAGTATACTACTGTGACAGGAGAAGACAACAGACTTTTCTGCTTCATTGATCCATTGATCCATTGGATCCATTGATGCAAACATGGAACTACGCAAAAAGGGTAAACGCCAATTGTGTCAGTTCGTCCAGGGATATGACTCCAGCAACTATTCTCTTTTCTTCTTCTCTCTTGCCCCAGAGGCCACATTTCATATCTTCAAGTGGATATATGTATGTTATTGTCTTACTAGGGTCTATATGCTCTCCCCCAGTTACCCCTGTGTTACCATGAGATTTCCTCAACGTTATGTGTCTCTCTCTATTTTGGTACCTGGGGATGTCTTTGTCATCGGTACTCAACTTTACATCATTTTAAAACCATGTAAGCAATTTAAAATATGTTTAGCAGTGGGATCTGGAGGTTGGATGGCAGTTGGAGATGGTTGTCTCTATATAGTTCAGTCTACCTTGAAATGTAAACCTAAAGAAAAAGTAGTTCTGCAATAAATGCTGAAATGCATGTGGAGAGAAAGGAGCCCTCCTACACTGTTAATGGGAATGTAAATTGGTACAAACACTGTGGAGAACAGTATGGAGTTTCCTTAAAAACTAAATATAGAACTACCATATGATCCAGCAATCCCACTCCTAGGCACATATCCTGAGAAAACCATAATTCAAAAAGGTGCATGCACCTTAGTGTTCATTGCAGCACTACTTACAATAGCCAAGACATGGAAGCATCCTAAATGCCCATTGATAAAGGAATGGTTAAAGAAGATGTGGTACATATATACAGCAAAATACTACTTGGCCATAAAGAAAAGTGAAATAATGCCCTTTGCAGCAACATGGATGGACCTCGAGATTATCATGCCAAGTGAAGGAAATCAGACAGAGGGATACAAATATCATATGATACAACTTGTGGAATATAAAAATGATACAAATAAACATATTTAAAAAGAAATAGACTCACAGGCTTAGAAAATTATGGTTACCTAAGGGGAAAGGTGGAGTAAACTAGGACTTTGAAATGAGCATATACACACTGCTGTTATATGAATGAGATAACTACTAATGCCCTACTATATAGCACTGAGAATTCTACTCAATATACTGTAATAACCTATATGGGAAAAGAATTTGAAAATGAAAGGGTATATGTATAACTGAATCACTTTGTTGTACACCTAAAAGTAACACAACATTGTAAACCAAAATATATTCGAATATAAAATAAAAATTTTAAAAGAAGAAAACAGTCTAGAACCTGAAATTTTGTTGCATTCATAGTAAAACAGAAATAATAATGCCAGTTTCACAGATGTTTGATTATCACTTACAATCACATCTGAATAACTCCTACTACTTAACAGGACCCAAGGAAATAAGAGTTTTATCATTAATTGAGTGAAGATACAGGCTGATTTGAGAAACACAGAAAAGCCTACATCACAAGAGGAGTGATTTGTAATAAAGGAGGTTTATGATAAAAGAAAGATGGCAGATGCTAAAAGGATCGATTTAGAGTGACTCTATGTTTCCTTGCCAGCAAGGTATCATGATTGAAATCATGATAAGCTATGTCATGAAAAAATGTAAGCTATGTCTCTGAATTCCAGTGATCAAAATATATCTTGAAACACATTAGTTCCTAAAAAACAGAGTGAGTGTGCATTACATGGCATGTTATCATGAAATTTATGTTGGGCAATTATGTATTAAAACTAATATGCGTTTGGGGAATGAATATAGGCTAGGAGAAAAGGGAGAATCTAGTCAGGTGAATGATGACCAGAACCACATGTAAAAATTGTGATCTCTCTTGTTTTTATAGGAGTCACAGCTGAAAGCAATGAAAGAGACTGTACAACTCTGCCTCTCAACTGTTTTCCGTGATCAGCAGCTTCCCCATTTGAATCCCTTCAGGCCGTATGGAACTCAGATATCAGTCCCAACCATGATAACTGACCCTAGGACTGCATATGTAAGCACAACAGCCAAGGTACACTTTATTTGTGCTTTGAAATCTAAAATCAAATAAGGTACTTTCTTGACTTTGATCTGTATTATCATCAAAGTGAATCCAAGTAAGAGCAAATTCATTGAAAAATCAGGAAGTAAATGGGAGATAGTAACCCAGTTTGTAAAGTTTTCATAGTCACTCAGAGAATATTGGAAAACAAATTTTCTTTATAAGTGAACAGGGTGTTTCTTAGGCAGAATTATCACCATCACTATTTTACAATATTATAAGAAAATATCTTATATTATATTCCAGTTTACACCAGGGGTTTATTATGGAAAATACTTTCTTCTAGGGTATAACCACCATCCTTACAAAAGTGGATACACTTTTCAGAAATTAAGTCTGTAGTTCTCAACACTGTGACTGTACATTAGAATCACTTGTGATAGTTATTTTTTTTAAAAAAAGTCTTAATACTTGGGACACACCTCAGACAAATTCTTCCTGGTTTTGCTCCAGTCATCATTAGTTTTTAAGAGCTCCCTAGGGGATTAGGAGGGCTTCCCTGTGGCTTGGCGGTAAAGAAGCCACCTGTCAATGCAGGAGACATAAGTTCCATCCCTGGGTTAGGACGATCCCCTGGAGAAGGAAATAGAAAATAGAAACCCACTCCAGTATGCTTGCCTGGAAAATCCCATGGACAGAGGAGCCTGGTAGCCTATAGTCCATGGGGTTGCAAAAGAATTGGGTGTGACTTAGCAACTACTTAAGCAAATCCCTGCCATCACTCTATACAGGACAAAGAGGGCGTTTCAGTTCCACTTTTGTTTCAATCATCAGAACCTTCAGTTTGCAAGCTCTTCTTTTAAATAAATATTGACAATCTGAAATTGTTATTAAAGAAAGGAGTTTAGTTTCAGGCAGTATACTTGAAGGTGCAATTCTTTTCACTTGCCTAAAGATCACTTGCTGTTGAAATAAATGCTATAGACAGGAGTCCAGCTTCTTAAGCAAATCCATGGTGGACTAGAGGATGGTGGACAAAAAACCCTGAGGAGCACTGTTACAGATACCTACCAATTCATTACATCTGGGGATGTGGCCAATCTGTAGATGAGGGAAATGCTATTTTCACGATGAAGAGTCCAAATTAAGTAAAACAAAATAAATTTACTGTTCTGTTTTTCTCCTGTAACTGGTTGATTTCTCAAAAACATATTAATCTGTGTAACCTTCTTTTTCTGTCAAAATCATTTGAAATAAGTATTTCCATTTTATATTATCTTCTTTGTTTTTATTATGTAATGAGGATCTCAAAAAATTTAGCCAATAATTTTCTCCTTTACATCTCTCTGATCCTCCTTTGAAAACAGTGTTTGTTTGTTTGTTTTTTAATTCAGCCAAACTCAGGGAAGAAAGTTGCATAATAATATATTTTTATGTTTAAAAAAAATTCCTGGTAAATTTATTGAAACAGATTTGTGGTTAAGTATACAGCTACCTTACACAATCTCTGCCACCTATCAGAAAGCCACATACTCCCTCCACTTCAGGTTAGTTTAAGGGAGAAGCAAAGATTCAACTGTATTAAGTTCAGTGACTTTAGGCAAAGCAGCTTTGTAATTTTATGGGCACATGACACTTGTCTCCAACTTAAAATATATTTACTAGGCTCATTATTAAAACTGGGCTCTTTATGACCCTAAATATATGGAAGAAATTACTGTCCTGTATCCTGTCATCGAAATAAATAATACATATATATTATTATTTCTCTAGGTTTATCACAGGAAAACATAGGAAGCATTTAGATGCATGTAGTTTAGAGAATGCTTATTTTTAAAAAAATAATAACATATCTAATTATTTAAGATAAAGTTCAGTAAATCTAAGTTGATATACCATAGAGCATTCTATTTTACAAATTAGCATTAAAAGCCTCTCTGGCATTTCTCTTTTGCTTGTATTACTTATCTTTTCAAATACAGTGTCAATTGTATTTTATGTACCTGTGTGTGTGCTTTGTTCACTTAAGAAGCTCCTATTCTTTGGAACTCTACATTCAGATGTGTATATCTTTCCTTTTCTTCTTTGCCTTTTGCTTCTTAGTCACTCAGTCATGTCCAACTCTTTGTGACCCATTGGACTGTAGCCTGCCAAGCTCCTCAGTCCATGGGATTCTCCAGGCAGCAATACTGAGTGGGTTGCCATGCCCTCCTCCAGGGGATCTTCCAGACCCAGGAACTGAACCCACATCTCCTGTGTCTCCTGTATTGCAGGCAGATTCTTTACCTGCTGGGTCATTGGGGAAGCCCTATTTATGTATTCTTGGGGCTTGAATCTCTGTGCAGATAATATTTGAAAAATATTATATATATCAAAAATATCACAGATAATATTTGAAAAATCCTGAATAATAAAACATGATATGCAGTGTATGTAAGAGAAGTAAACTTTTCAGTCATGGAACAATTTTTATCCAAAA